GCATACGCAAACATCTTCAGATATCAAGTTTTTAGGTTACTCTAATATCTATCTATGTGTAATATACTTAAACGGATGCCAGCCATTTTAGACGCAAATGTGTAAAAATATAAAAGAATAAAGTTAAAGTAAACGCAAACGTTATAATTCTGAATTTGAGCCTTCTTCAATGCGGAAGTCAAGTACAAACTAGTTTGCGTTTACTTTAAATTCATTTGATACATCTTAATTGATTAGAAGAAATTTTTAACATTTTTTTTTTTTTGTACGTAAATTAGGTCTCTGTTTCTTTAAACTTTCTCTGTTTCCTTTACAATGTCTTTCCTTAATCTATCTATTTTTTTCATCTCTTCTAATCCTCTTCCTTCTTCTTCTAAAAACTCCTCTATTGTTAGTTCATTTCTTGTTGCTCCGCATTCGTCTATAATGTGTGACAAGTTTTCTTCCTCTCCTCCACATAATCTGCATCTTCGATCCTCCCCTTCTGTCCAATATTGTCTCCCTTTCGTTTCGTTCCCGCACCTGAACCTAGCTATCAGCTCTCTATCCTTCTTTTTCTTATTTCCTTTCAAATATTTTGGCGTTTCCTCTGTCCTTATTCTCTTGAATTCTTTGTTGTAATTTGACTCGTTGATTTTTCTGATTCTATCTTCCTTGTCCTTCCTCTCGATTCTCTCCATTATTTTCTCCGTCGTTTCCTTGTCCTCTCCCTCTCTGTTCTCTCTTGTTCTTTCTTTATTTGAACCTGCTTTTTCCAGCAGCTCTCTCCTCTTCTTTTCCCAACCCCCTTCCTCTCTCCTCGGTCGTGTTCTCTCCAGGTCTTTTATACATTCCTTTATTAATTTTTTCTTTGAGCTGTTCACCTTTTCTTCATATTTTATCGCTCTTCTTATTGCTTGTATCCGTAATTCCTTCATCTTCGTTTCTTCTATCAGCATATAGTTTGGGGTGTTTCTGTCCAGCTTTAGTATCCACTTCACGTATCTTCTCTTTATTTCATCCAATCTTCCTTCCTCCTGCCAGCCCCATACTTCTGCTCCGTATAGCGCTACCGAACCTACTAACGAGTCGAATGCCTTCATCCTTCTGCTGAAATTATCTCTGAAAATTCTCTCTCCTATACTCCAGGTTCTCTTCATGGCTATCGTTGCTTTTCGCATTCTCTCCTTTATTTGCTTCTCCGCCCTTCCATTCTTCTGTAATATGTAACCCAAATATCTTAACTCTCTTACTTCTTCTAATTTTTCTTCCTCCCATTTCCACTCTCTTTTCCTCTTTGCTCCTTTCCCCTTTTCAAATACTAAAACCTTAGATTTCTCCGGGCTGAGAATTAGTCCTTTTTTCTCCAGAAATTTCTTGAATCTTTTCATCATCTCCTTCAGCTCTGCTTCACTCTTGGCTAGTAGAACTATATCGTCTGCATACATTATGGTCCAGAACTTTTCTTTCCCTACCAC